GCAGGAAAATTGCGTTCAAAACGAGTGGTTTTTTTTTTTTTTTTTTTGCCCTGTACAAGATTCCCCTACAGGTGGTTGTAATATAAGTTTTATTTGTCACTATGGAACAAAACCTCCACTCCATTCTACCATGTAAAGGCAACTTTTCCCTGCATTGCCCTCCTCAGTGAACCCAGTCTATAGTCTTCTCGATTTGTAGGAAGATCATGAGCATAGGGGAAGAGCCCCCTCTCTTGTCCCATTAATTCCTGAAGGAAGGGGGCATGCGAGTGCCCCAACACCATTATAGCAGGATTGGGATCCAGAAGTCCAAGGTCCCAATGCCACTGAATGAGTGGGAGCCTCCCCCCTCCCACAATGCATTTGGACAGGCTGGCTTACTAGATTATGAAGTATAAGAAGTCAAATTCAATCTAAATAAACAAATTATATTGGCAAAAGAAGAAGTCATGCACACAGCCATCAAGAGACAGAAGGCCTCCATAAGAACAGTGTCTGAAGGCAAACCGGGGCTCCATTTAAAGCAAAGTATGAGGCCAACTAACCCTGCAGATAGACAATGTGCGTGACTGTTAAACCCTGCTATAGAGCACTGTTAGATACAGGTATTATCAAGGCACTGAATGTTCATACGTATAAAAGGTTCTCCGTGCAGTTTCATAACTAGGATCTCCAGGAGAGTAAGCTATGTATATTGTCCTGCAAGCATGATTGACAATTAAGCATGGCTTAATTTTAATAGAGATTAGCTTTTTCAACTTCCAGGCTTGGGTTGGTTTGTTGTTTTACAGAATAATGTAAAACATCCAGCAAACATCCTACCTTGTGGTTCCTTTCACTGTTTGTTTGCTGAGCCCAATTGCATTAAAAAAAGTGACTGATCTTCATTTGTTAGGATCCCTGAGCTTGACAAATGGGCCTAAACATGGCCAATCAGTTTCTCTGCCCAGGCTTTCTCAACTGGCAGCTGAAAGTGTGGCCTGGGTTGACTGGAAAACTTTGTGGTGAGGAGAATGTGAAGAGGACATTAGTTCTCTAGGGAATTTTTTTGTCTTGTTTTTTGTGGAAGTATCAAAGCCCCCGCCTGGCCAGCAACCAAGGCTTTCATCAGATTTTCAACAAAAGGAAATGGAGAGAGGGGAAAAATCTGAGGTGAAATGTCCAATAAACTGCCCCACCTCCTTTACTCCTGCCTTTTCTCCACTTTTAGCACTGGGTGCTGGGTCCTGTTCACATCTAATTCTTTTCCTGCTCTTCAGCACTGATGATGTTTTATAAATACATATGAGCATCTTCTTGAGGGGATGCCAGCCAGAGATCACATAGCTGGTCATTATACAACAACATCAAAAGTGGAGCAGGGATTCATTAGCTTCGTTCAAAACAGGCTTTAGTGTAAAGCTTGGCAGATTTCGCAGTATTATTTATTTAAAATATTTTTATCCCACCTTTCTCCTTAAAAAGAACCCAAGGCAGCTTACATCTTTAAAAATACAATATGTAAAAGCTAAAAACAGTAGGTATACAAATATTTTAAAAATAATTAAACAAGTATTATGTTAAAAACAGTAATAAAATCAATACTAAAAAACACATTTAAAACAATAAAGCACAACAATCCAGTTAAAAAACCCTCTCAGACCAGTCTCGTAATATCACACACCAAACACTTTCCATCCTCACTCTTACAATCTTGTGGCTTACCCAAAAAGCTTAACTCTGCCTTTAGAAGATGCAATCATGGTGCCATCATCTTCTATGGTATATTCGGCTGAGATGTTATCCTGTAGAAACAGCCCTTCTGGGTCTTTCTTAGCCAGTGCATACCATTTACCTGCATACTAAAATGCAAATGACATATTAAGGATCACATGAAGGAGATCCATTGCACGTCAACCAGGTAATTTATTAATTGAGGCAAGGAGGAACTAAGCTAGCCGCCTGATGACTGCCTATAATTGAAAGAAAGCAGATTTCGACAATTTAAATCCAGACTTTAAAGAACTGAGTACTGCACTTATTGAAACTGACTCCTGGAATCCTTCCAAATAATTGATACAGCATGGTTGAAACCCTGTTCTGCAACCTTATAAATAAAAGTTCTCCTGGTGTTACATTTCAGGAGGCCTGAAATTGTCCTACTGCTGCCTCAGAGGGTAGGACTACATTTTTATGAGCTTCAGTGGGAGAAAGATAGATTTCCGGTGGCCATTAGGAGAATCTTCTTGATTACAAGGGCAGCTTGTTGATGAGTTCAGGTATTGGGGGGGGGGGAAGGTGTTGTGGTTTTCTGGATGTCTAAAAGAAAAGGGTGGAGAGCCATTTTTTGGGAATGCTCCAACCAACTCTGTACACTATTTCCTTCACTAAAGGGACAAAATAAGTTCTAAAAGCCCCCACACCCTCATGTTTCTATGATTTTAGTATCAATTCTTCCATACACTACCAGTAATAGTGTGGAACTGGCCACCTCAGAGCAGCTCCTTTACCCTGCATATAACACATAATACATCTAGTACCCCAAACAAGTGTGGACCAACTGAAAGACGAGATATGTATGTATGTGTGGACAGCTTGTGACTGAGATAGTGGGGTGCCTCTCTGAAATACTAGGGTGAAGTGCTCCCTCTTTTCTGGTCCATGAGCCTTCCCAAACGTAACCAAGAAATAAACAAACAATGAATGCAGGGTTGTAAGCAAGTTCCCAGAAAGTGCTTTGACTGTAAAAGCAGAGAGATGGAAGTTCACACAGACTGAAAAACACCCCATTATGTCCAATAGATTAAAAGGAATATCTCAGCCTGCTCTTAGTATTTACACTTGTGTAAATCTTCTGCTTCAACCCAGCCCTCTTATGTCCTTTGCATTAGGAAGTGTTGATAGTTACCCTCTTGGGGTCAAAGTCAGCCTTCACCGAGAATGATTCCACAGCACAGGAGGGCTGCGCTGAACAATAATCAAGGATGGAGATCAACGTCACCAGGAATGTATACTGCGTGTACTTCATCCTGTAAAGTAACACAATTTCAGCCTTTGTTAGAAGCTCGTAGTGTTTTCATTCTCCGCTATTATAGCTGGGTAGTGATTCAAGATAGTCGCCCAAGTATTAGCAGAACTAAAGACATCTCAGCATAATTGGCCTGCTGTGACTCCCAGCTTCTTCAATGCTGGGCCCAAGAAGCAGAGCAGCAAATATCTTCTTCCCTCTCCACCCAACAACCCACCCAAATTATGGTGCAACGTATCCAAAGACAGCCATATTATTTTGGCCAGCTAGGCAGAAATTCCAAAAGCACTTCTTCCCATTCATGGCAGTAAAAAATGCAACAAAAATCAAGCAAGTCACAATTTGCTGCCTTTTCATGATATCCAGCATTTGGCATCGTGGAGTTGGCTGCCACCTCCCTTGGTCCCTGACTATCCACAATAAAACATATCTCTTTTCATGCGAACTATCCCAGTTACTGTCAAGGGGGAAAGGGAATAATCTTGCTGAAACTGTCACTCATGTCCAAAAGAGAACTTAGCAACAGAACAGCATGAATATCCATATTCTGACTGATTGCACAACACTTGCGTGTGTGTTCTGTGCTGTCAAGTTGGAACTGACTTATAGCAACCCTAGTAAGGCTTTCAAGTGAGATATTTAAGGAGTGGTTTTATCAGTTTTACTCCTCCAGTGAGTTTCTGTGGCCAGGTGGGGATTTGAACTCTGTTCTCCAGAGTCCTAGTCCATCACTCTATCCATTACACCTCACTGAGAATCCTGCTCAGCACTTGGGCTTCCATGAATCTTTGTAATGCAAAAAAAAAAAAAAAGATGCAGATTTGAATGAAAAAGAACAGCAGCTATCTTGGCTGTAAGAAAAATGCAGAGAGTAATATTAATATAGCATCTTCCTTAGACTAAGGAAAAGGGCACAACATGTGTGTATCTGAAGTAACTCTTGTTCTGCTAACTTTTGGTTTGCTTATATTTGTTTATAAAGCAACTATTTGGCAAGGAGGAAAGACTATGGAGCAGACCCTTCCTCCCACTGTGTTTACTAGGAGGCAACTAACTTGGCCTGGTTCCAGGGCGGGTGCAGTTGAGGACCACTTCAGAGGGCATGCTGGGGAAGCAAGGATGTTACGATAATGACGATTACAGAGGGTTAAAATAACCAGACGTTTAAAGCAAATTGACTGCTGTAATCCAAATAATAAACCAGTAAGCACTTGGCGAGGGTGTAAAATCCAGCCTTCTCCCTTGGAATCCTAATCTAAAGGATTTGTGTGACATCACTGACAGCTAATTTATACTGTCAGTGAGGGGGAAGATGCTGATGGTTTCCTGGACTTTACTTCTTCAGGCTTCAGGAGCACGGCCAGTTCTACCACTGGGCAGAGGTGGGTGCTGGCGGACAAAAATGGCATCCCTCGCTGTTTCCCCTGAGCTTCAAGCCATGGCCCTCTCTTCCTAAAGAGGTCTTTGTTCGCCTCCTCTACTGCCTCTAGCCTGCTGCCCTTGTGGAGGAAAATGCTCCACTACCAGTGTGTGGAAGGCAAAGCAGGGCTCCATTTAAGCCAGAGTATCAGGCCAACTAACACTGCAGAAAGACAATGTGCGTGACTGTTAAACCCTGCTATAGAGCACTGTTAGATACAGGTATTATCAAGGCACTGAATGTTCATACATATAAAAGGTTCTCCGTGCAGTTTCATAACTAGGATCTCCAGGAGAGTAAGCTATGTATATTGTCCTGCAAGCATGATTGACAATTAAGCATGGCTTAATTTTAATAGAGATTAGCTTTTTCAACTTCCAGGCTTGGGTTGGGTTGGTTTTTACAGAAAATACCCAGCGATTCAGTGATTCGTCTAATCAGTTTTTTCTCCTGACCTGGAGCAGGTCACTCTCTTTTCCTCAGGCAGCAAAATGTCTGCTTACTGCCTCATCTGTGAAATGACCATTCTTCAGATATTGCCACCAGAAACGTGGAAACCACAGTGTTTCAGAAACTCCACACCTGACAGGCTTAAGTTGTCAGAAGACAAATGTCTTTTCCTCAACATTTAAGCATAGGCTCCAGGATATCCCCTCGTCCTAATTTTGTGGAAGAAAGTACCTCTAGCTGCCCCCTGTTCAACAGGTAGAACACTTCTAACATTACATCCTTATTTCTCATGCCAGCTGTTGCATTAAAAATTGACCAAAATTGACTGAAACATTGCAGAATTTTCCGTCTGAATAACTCAAGCATTTTAGCGGACAAAAGCCACCAAGATATTTCAACAATACAAGAAGAGAGGAAGATGGACTAGCATCATCTATTGCTGTTGAAAGACCTACCTGATGGATTGGGAAAACTCCTGGAATTTATTCCGTATGATTTATCCTTGTTGTTCAGAAGAAGTCTTGGCTATGAGCAGCTCTCCACTGACTGCCTTTAAATAAGGCACCAGGAAAGGCCTTAATTGGCTATTTGCTCCCTAGACCTGAGTAAGATGCTTAGCTTTGGATAATCCATTATGTAAAAACCATCACCAGTAATCCTCGCACTGGACCCTCGATCTGCTGTTATCAAACACATATGGCTTTTTATGTAATCGAAGACAACATCTCAGCCAGCACAGCTGACATAAGCAAAGCACCTTGGCTACATATCTGGACCCCTTTGTGGCACCTCCCTGTGTTCTCTGCAGCACGTGGCCTGCCAGTTTAGAAACTCATGCATCCTAAGGAGGGAGGAACTGTGGTCAGAGTGTGCACGGGGAGGTCACACCCTTTAATGGCTGATGACCCTCTTCTTGCTTGCCATCACCAAAAACCATATTAGATCCCTAATATTAAATCAACACAAGAAAAACTATATCTGATAGGTTCAAAATACTGGGTATCTAGATAGAATCCTGGCTAGAACCAGACCTGTTTCCCTCTAACCGTTTAATTAGATTATGTTTTCTTGCTATCGTTTATGCTTTGCTGTGGAAAATTATTAAGATTTCATGTGTTCCTTGCATGAACTCCCCTCTGCTTGCTGAGTGAGTGAGATGTCATGCTGCTTCTCACTGTTCTGTTGTAATTTTGATCCGTTTTGACCATCACCTTCTCTCTGACCAAGACATTTAGCTGCAAGGGGCTAAGGATGGGTATCAATTGTGTGTTTCATTAGCTTTTTTAAAATCAGAATTTAGCAACGTTCTCAAAAGCTGCAAATGGGGAAAACGGAATCTGACTAGAGATGTGCATGAACTCAACGACAAACCAGAAAGAAACACTAACTAGTTCAGTTCATGGATCCTGTTTTGCCGAAATGAGCGTTGTTCCCTCTGCACTTCATTTTGCTTCAACAAAATGGGATGCCTGCCCCTGCCCTTACTGCCTCCCCACCTTGTCTTGAAGTCCCATGGCACGAGCCTAAAAAACAAACCACAAACTGTTTCATTTTTGGGGAGTTTGGGCTAGTTTGTGGTTCATGCGTAGCCACGAACCATGAACCAACACGAACTACTGGTTTTTCGATGTGTGCTCATCTCTACATTTGATGTATTTGCCTCAAATGTGGGGGAGAATTTCTTTTCACTTTTAAAACTATCAGAATTTTAAAATTTTTAAAATATCAGAAGAGGATAATAAAGGAAGAAGAATAAAGATAGAGGAAGAAGAGGATTACTGTAAGAGGTCCTGACTATGGTGGTGGGGAACACATGTCAATTGTATTTAGGTTTATGTATTTTAGGTTTATGTTTATGTTGTATTTTAAGAATTTTTTTAAAAAAAATCAGAATTTACCGATGTGTAAAATTTTTTAAAAAATCAGAATTTACCGATGTGTAAAATTTTAATGTCATGAGAAACCTACTTGTATCCCAGGCAGATGAAGTGGTATTCCCCCTAATTCCAGGTGCAAAGACGAAACAGATGGACAGTTAAAGGTTAGTCTATTCTAATCTTGTTTTGACAGGAATAGGAACTATATTTTTGTTCTATCATTTAGCAATTCCCGCATG